TACACACACACACTTTTTTTTAACAGATATTTCAGCTTGTGAAATGTAAATATGGTTCAGTTGGTGAATTGTTTTTGCTAATTAGGTGACTCCTGAAGGCCATTGGCTGCACTGATTTATGATTAGGAGTATCAGAATAAAGGGGACTGATGTACACTTCACTTTTAGAAAATTTAAGTAAAATTTCACTATCATTTGCTACTTTGTCTTTGTAAGAAAAAAAAATGGCCAAAGCAATAAATTTGGGGTTGTAAACTTCCCTAAAGTTCAAGTTTAGGAACATTCTTAACACCGTCATTCTTTAAGGCGTAAAAATAATTTTGTTTCTTGCTTTAAATGTTGACAAAAAGTTTCCTCTGTATTTCTGATCTAAATGTTGCTCTCCAGGCTCCTCGGCTCCTTCATGGGAACCAGTCGGCCCAGCTCATCCTCCAGGCAGCGTTCCCTCTGCAGCAGCACAGCACCTTCGCTGCAGCGGCGCAGCAGCAGCAGAAACAGCAGCAGCAGCAGCAGCTGGCTGCTCACCGGTCAGACGGTCTGTCTGACCGCCCGTCCACTCAGCCTCAGTAGCTGACTGACGTAAGATCAGCCAAACTAAGACACGCAGGTCTTTTCACACAAGTGTCATTTTAAGTTCTGCAGAAAACACTGAGGAGGGTCCTGCCTCTGAAGCAGAGAACAGACTGACTTTGCAGCCTGGCTTCTCATAAGGATATCTTCTGTTTGTACAAAAAAAACAACAACAATATAAAAGAAAAACCTCCAGATGGGATGAGTTCAGCGGAGAACCAGGACTGGACTTGCTGCGACTAACTGGAGTTAAAGATTTTACCGTCGGCATCTTCAAACAGATCAGGCAGTTTGAATATATTGTATTATTATTTTTGCTCTTTTTGTTTTTCTATATAAAAATAATTATGGGTCAGAAAATATTTTTATGAATGTGGTGTAGATGGCAGTTTAACTGTACAGAATATCGTGTAATATATGATGTAAATATACAGAAAAAGAAAGACCTAATATTTTATATGATGCATGAAATGCATAGTTGTTCTTTGCAGCTTTGAATAATACTGGGTTCTTTTTTTCCCCCCAAGAAGTCTAAGACAAAAAAAAAAAAGCTCTTAAATGCTCAGTGGCTGATGTTTCCCAACTTGCTCTCTCCCGCGGGGATGTTTGTGCGTCTGCATAGCAGACAATGCCGATGCTGTTTGGATTTTGTTTCTTTTTTTAATTTTTTTTTTTTTCAATCTTTGACCTTTACTTTCCACACAGTTTCCTTCAACCGTCTGAGTCACATTTCTGTCTTTTTTTTTTTAAAGTTGTGTTTAACATCCAAACAGTGAAGACTGCAAATTTGTGAGATGTTGCTCATGAAATGGAAACTACCTACTACCACAATGAAGCTAAATGAAAGCACCAGTGAGATTTGTCCTCATTCATATCTTAATTTATTTGTCTCGCCTCTTTTCTGAAGATCTTACAGTCTCCCATCTCAGGCTGTGTAATTCTTCAACATGTTCTGTTCTACATTTCTTTATATATATATATATATATATATATATATATATATATATCTAAAAGGGAAATCTGCCTTGTGATCTTTGTTCATTATTTTTACAAATACTGTGGGGATGCTTCATTTCAGCAGGCAGCTGCTCTGTGGAGAAATGGACGGATCTGATTTTAAATGGCAATTCAATTCGACAATTCTTCATATATCTTTCAGATTTGCAGCATTGCTGTCAAATATCAAGCCTTCAAAGAAAATAAAGCCAACATTTCTTCAACAGTTGATGTAAGACATGACTTTTCCGACCATGCAACATTAAACTCAACGTTTTGGGTCAGAACGGATTCGAAGCTTGTGTTAGCACACACACACGGAAACACTCACCAGGGCATAAACATCACTAATTATTTATAACCTCTAACTTTCCCTGGTCCTTTTGCGCTGTAGTTTTCCAGAGGCAGCCAAGCATTTTAACTTTAACCACATTGCTTTTTTTTTTTCTTCCCCCTCCCAACTGCCAAATTTTTTTCTTTACACAACAAACACAAAGACCCACTTCTGCTTTGTCGTTGGCATCGGTGTCTTTTCCCCCAGGATATCGTGGTTTCGTTCGCAGTGTGGTCAGCGTTTGGAACGCGTTCAGCTCGGTGCGAGTCGTCATCAGGGCCGGAGAAGACATGTGGACTCGACTCACGCTCCAGGGACGGATCACTGACTCCTCCCTCCCGGGTTCCCGGAATCGCTCCGACTGTGTTGGCTTTATCCCGGCAGCCTCCTCACCATCTGATCTTATTCACTAGCAGATGGTGTGAAACTCGCAGCTCTTCTGCCGTCCGGAGCGTTGAGGTAAATGGCTACAAAGTGCTTAACCTCTCTTCCAACATTTCATTTGGAACCACAAAGCATCTCCTGAAGTCCTACTATATACGTTAAAACACCAAACATAAGTAACAACCACTTTCTTACCATAGGATTTAGTTTGGACCGTTCTTCAACAGTTGTATGCGTGAGGTCAGACACTGATGTTGGCTGTGAACGACCAGCTCAGTTCAGTAGAGTTGAGATCAGAACGTCACACCCGTTTTAGAAAGTGTTGCTTTATAGTTC